TTCTCTCTCTACTCTCTCTCTCTCTCTCTCTCTCTCTCTCTCTCTCTCTCTCTCTCTCCCTTCGTTCTCTTTGATATTATTCTTCTCACACTATAAATGTCAAACAGAAGAAGATTATTCAAGGGCAAATACACAAGTCAAAGGAATTCTGCTTAGAAGTGTTATGTGAAAATGAAAAAAAAAAAGGAAAAAAAAAAGGGAAAAAGCACGAAAGGAACAATGATACCAAATGGTAAGATTGTATCATAAAAACAACAAAGATGAAGCTGCAACAAACAAGTAAAACTATCGGCATTAATCAAAGAACTATATTGTAGCCTAGTGAAGAGCAACATTGTATTGTATCTAATTTAAATTTTTCAATCACTGCCTACAGCAATAAATGTATGACAAGAAAAGAATAACTGAAAGTATAACATAAAAATAGACAAATTTAACTGAATAAATTATAGGAAAAATATCATATGGACCCCCAATTTCAAAACTCATTTTACAGTAGCCTCTCCCAACTTTTCTCTTTCAAGAGGCATTAAATTTCCCCTAAAACTATCAACTTAAACTTACCCTTTCATCCCTTTCCACCTTCTCCCAACCCTTTTCTACATTATGTAGTATGAGAGAAATTGTTGATGTCAAATTGAATGTAAAAAAGTGAGAAACAAGGGAAGGGACGGGATGAGGGGGTATCTTGATAGTGTTAGGAGAAATTTGATATGTGCTTGAAAGAGGAAAAATGGGAGGGACTACATCAGCAAAATAAGTTTAGAAGTTGAGGGTCCGTACGATATTTTCCCTAAGTTATATATTGTGATTTTCTAGATGTATATTCTCCTCAAAGGGAAATCATGACCCACCAATTCCATGGAAGTAATTCCACACTCAGTAGTGCTGTAACAACAGTCATTTTCACAGAACTCCTTAAAAATGCCAAGCTGCCAACAAAAGTTATTGCTGAGAACCTTTGGCGACCTGACATAAAACACTTAATCCAAGAGGTGACACACGCATGAAACTCAGAATAGTTTTTTTTTTTTTTCCCGAGAATAGGGTAACAAATTCAGAATAAATTTGAACGGCCAAGAACAATGTCTCTACAACCACTTATTCAATAATTTACCTTATGTCGGAGTGCAGAAGTAGACAAGTGTGAAGTAGCATACCTCTGAACCAATCCTTCATGCTGCTAAAGCCATGCAAGCTTTGTTGTAAGTATCAGCTAGAAGTCGAACTTTTTTAAAAAACATCGTAGCAGCTGATTAGTAGATTTAAAATTGTAGTATATGTCACCACACACAAGCATGTATACATAGAATACCATATTTATACTTATAACGATCAATATATTGTTCAAAGGGTAAACTTCGTAGTAATAAAATTATGAATGTTCTAAGACTATTTGCCTACAACTACAGTCCCGGAAAGCTCAAGCGACTATGTATTTTTTTCTTTACAGGTATTCAGATTCATAAGTTTCCACTCACTACCACTCATGTTTTTGAGTTATGTAAATATTTAAGGATACTAGGTAGAAATGCATATATTAAATTATGAAAAAGTAAATTAGGTGAACATATGCCCTCTATAATGGTACCCACATACTAGGCAGTCGAAACCAAAGTTGAAAAAGAAGTGATTTGGAAATAGGAAAAGCATAGAGTAGAAGTTACCAAAGAAGAGAGGGCAGTTTGGCGCATGATTTTTAAAATGAACTTTTTATTAGGAAAGCTACTTTTCGGACTTGAAAAGTTGAATAGTGTGAGACTTGAAAACTCAAGAACCCACTAAGGCCAAATTATATTATGCAATAATGATTGTAGATTGCTGTCCAATGTATTAAAACTCAGATTGACTCATCATTGCACCTGGTCCCCAGCTGCGCCTGATCAAGTCTATTCAGCAGACGCTCTTCGAAAATTAAGACAAGATGGTGAGCCTCAATCAAGTCTTGTAAACTCATCAAGTCTTGCCTGATTGCCGAGCCAAGTCAACTTGGGCAAGTCCTGAATTGAATCAGCAAGTTTTAAACAAACATACTAGTTTAGAATTCATTACCTTTGACATTGCAAGAAGTTCATAACTCCATATAGCTATCTGGTCACCCCTTTTTTGTGGGTAATCCTAGAACAATAGGTTGGGATCCATATTTGGAATGATATGTGAGGAGACTTACACCAAGAGAGCACAACTATTGATCCTTTGGAGGACAGATACTCTCATTAAGGCCACAAAATACAATATGCAGTTATACAATAGCCCTTTGTCAAATCTCAGAATTGTGACAGAAAATCGAGAGAATCCAGATGAAGCTTTTGCCACAAATCTCAAAATGGTGGCAAAGAAAACTCGAGTGCATCCAGAGGAAGTTATTGTGCAGGGGCAACAATGAAGAGGATTCTCAAAGTTTCAATAGTGGAAAGTACTGAGAGGAGCATGAGAACATGAAAGAGCTAATTAGTTATATTCAGGTCAAGGTCACTTTCAATAGAGCCACCTAATGCAATATCCAACTCTATCATATCTCCCTATTTTAAATTCCTAGAAAGGTGGAAAAGAAACTGAAGGCAATCTCAAGGAAGTTTTCTAGCAAAGACAAAATAATGGAGAGAGATTCCAATTAGTGGCGGGAGATCTATAAACCAAGCAGGAAGCTGGAATAAGAATGAGAAGGCCCAAGGGGGTCCTAAGGCTCCAATTGTCAAGTAAGATTGGAAGTAGGGTATCTTGAAGACGGGATCTTGAAGAAGGGCAGAAATCCAGATACCCTAAAGACAAGTAACAGACCAGGAAGAAAGCTACGCTAAGGTCCGAGGACGTTAAAGAAGCACTAGAATGACGTCTTAAGAGCATAGTAGGAATTCAGGTTTTGAAAGGGTACACTAACATTGACATATTAAAAAAAAAAACAACATTGGTACACACAATGAATGTATAAGTGTCTATATGTGCATAGTTATGTAGCAAGCATGGCGACATGCATATATATATTAACAATAGGTAAACATAAATATGAACAGAACAAGAACTAGTTATCAAGACAAGGATGACCACTTAAGCAATTTGAATGCCCATCAAAGTCATTCTCACATGAGGCAATAATAAAATCCATATGCATGTACAAGCATAACTCCGTTCTTGGATTTTGCTAATTAGAGAGAATGTAGAGCATGCAAGGAGAGGTCAAGGTCATTACAGTTCTTGTGCCTAAGATATCCTTCCCAGATAAGAACCCATCAAATTTCTTTCTAAAACATGAAATGATAAGCAGCACCCTGAAATACAACCAATGAAAAGCTAATAAACCATGTACGTCAAAAAAAATCTCAATTTATTAAGCTTTCAGCAGAAATTTATTCATTACTTTCGTTATACCAGAATCTTGCAGAAAATGCCTGAGATTCAATAAATTTTCCCAGTAGGCTTTGTGCTTGAGACCTCAGGGGACACCTGTATGAGAAAAAGGCCATCACTTCACAAATGACATTGCTCAGACGTAAAACATGAGTTCAAAGAACTGTCAGTTAAGAATGAGAGAATAAATATCAATATTCACAATAACCAAGAATTCACTTAATTACTTCACAAGCTAATCAGCGAACAAATGACTGAAATCAGTGTTTGAAAAGTCAGACTCGGGCTCCGACTCACCAGGGTTCTGAGCCTGAGTCTCCCAGTCCGCCCAAGGAATGCGAGTTGTACAAGAAATTTTCAAGAATAAGTACTTTAAAAATACTGGAAAACTATAGACTTGGGTAACTCCAGGGTTTTGGGCCCAGAATCGACAGTCTCCTGATTCAGCCCAACTAGGGCGAATCCCAAGTTAAACAGACAAATTTTGAAACCCTGACTAAAACCATTGCTGATCATGTAATGAAATTTATAACTTGACAAAATTGTCCAGCAAAATATGCCAATTAACCCATAATTGACCATGGCTTTCCAAGTCAATCAGCACGCTGAACAGTCTGTGGGTGCATTAAATGCGAAAGATGGAATCGATTACATGAATAAGCTCATTTGAAGAAAGGGAAAGTTCCGCTAAACCAGTTATTCCTTTTACACTAATAGTATACATAGGACAAATATTATTATCTAATATGAGAAAGTTTTTATAAGTCTATAGTCAAATGTTGCCAAATAGTTTACAAATGGGTACTGTCTTCAACTAATTCGAACTTCTCAGCATTCTGAATAATGTCCATTATCCCCATTTCCAATTAAAGGGACAATGATAATACTTACGAAGACCCATATGGTGAAAATGACTGCACAGCCATGTTGGTCTTGACACAAGCACCAAGGACAAGAATATTTAACCAAGAGAAATTGGGACGTATGAAATGAACATTCCATAAAGAAATCTGCAAAGAAATGAAGTTTAGAGAGCATCAGAAGTGAATACAACACAAACATCATCATCCAAAGAGTCAGAGAGAGAGAGAGAGAGACTTACAAGTGCACCAACCCTCAGGGCATGCACTGGAGGAATCAACTGATCTGTTAACACGAGCCAAACTGTACTGTCTAATTCTACAACCATGCCTTGCATGTATGTTCCTGTCACCCTTCCTGTGTAATTACTGATTATACCCTTTCCAAAACTAATGGTTTCTCTTCTCAACATAAATGAAATTTCACAACCTTTGAATGGGAAAGCTCTCCTACCAGATAGAGAAGGAGACAAATGTATCACAGTTTCTTGGGTTGTCACATACATTGGATATGCCTCCCCTTTGCCAACAACTACCATCTTCTTCTTCAATCCCACAAATGAAATGAGCTTCCCATTAAGACTCAGAAACACAGGCCGCCAAACAACAGCTGCCCCACAAAAGTAGACGAACAGAGACTTTAAAGAAAATACATGAGACGGGTCATTAGAAGGATCATAAATATGTGTACCCAATGATTTTTCTTTACGACAAGAAATGCAATTGCAAACCAAAAGCTCAACTAGAAACCCACTTGTAGTTTCAGCACCTCGTACTGCTTTAACATCTTCTAATCCATTTAAGCTCTTTGAGGAATTTAGCTTCAATCTTTTTGGTGCTTTTATAGAAGCAGTGCTAAGCAATTTCTCAAAATTTTGCTGAATTTTACTGCAATATTGGATTTCTTGGGCTTTAGAAGCTCCATCTTCAGCTTCACATGGAACAACAAAAACAGGACTGATGGAAACCAGTTGTCCAGATATCCTGCTCTTACCATTTCCAGAGCTCCCTATCAATCTATCCCCGTTATAAGCACTTGCCAACCGAAAAGATAACAAATCGTCATCACAATCACTGTTGTTGTAAAGAGATGGCTCTATTGGCTTCCACTCAATTATCTCGAGAAATCCCCCTGTGCATTTTGATGGTATAAAATTCCATGAAGTAACATTAATTATCTTTCCAATAATATCAAGGTTTAAGTTAAGAATGGCACAGCAAATTGTGCGGCTTTCACTATCAGTAAATGAAAAGCAGTCCTTCATAGAGCAAAGGTTGTAACTTGAGCCATTGGTCCATAAATTAACAGTCCCAGTTATGATCGCAGGGTAATGGAGAAATTCTAAAATTCTAGGGTTTTTCTCAGAGCCCAAATGCGTTAGACCATCAGACGCTTCATTAGCACTGGTATATGAGCTTTTCCTTTTTTTATGAGAGGAGATGCAAGTAATCGGGGTTACAGTTTTGGAGACATTTGAGCTTCGAGCTTGAAGGGACAGAGTACCAGTAACTGGGAGAGAACGATGAATGAGCTCTGAGAGTGATAGGGTCTTCACACCTTCCATAGATGCAGCTTCTTCTCTACTCCCATTGCTAGTGCAGATAATTTAGGGTTTTTTAAGGTCTTCAAGCAGAAGACTTGGAACATGGGTCTTCATATCCTCCACTGATGGAAAAATTATGGGGTTTTCTCTTCTCTATCTGGTGCAGAAACTAGATTCTATAGGGTTTTGGATGGACGCGGAAATGGGGTTACGCATGTTTAAGGGCGAGATACTCTTTACAATTTGCATGGGTGCCGAGATTCTAAGGTTTTCTCTGGTATGCCTTCTATTGAAGCAGAGATTCCAGGGTTTATCCACTCTATAGCTTAGGGTTTGCTCAACTCCTATATTATTGTTGCGGAGATGGAGATATTTTACTTGATTAGGGTTTTCGAATGATACGCACAATGGCGGGAATTTCATGTTATATAAACAATTGAATTTACCCCTGTATCTCGTATAAATCTTGTAATTACAAAGGACCCGGTTTCTAAGCGGCCAAGTGGGATTTTTGGACTTAAATTTTTAATGACATGTAATCGGATCATGAATATGAAAAATAAGTAAATTTTAAAAAATTAAAAATAATAGTTCTAGTAAGAAAATATTTGGACCATTAGTTTCTATTGTTTTTTAGATGAAACACCTACTTGTATCCATCCTTAAGATGGATGCTTTACACTTTTTGGACTGCATATATAGTCACATAAAACAATTTTCCTTTCAAACATTCTCCTAATCTTCATATATTATGGGCATTTCTTTTCTTTTTTTGTCTTAAGATTTTTATTCTAATTTTAACCTCACCCTACATATTGAAAATCTGAAGCCACCATACTAGATGGAGACTTCATATTTTCAATATCCTTAATCATCTTTTTTTTCAAAGATTAAATTTTGCAGGAGTAAAATTTGCTTCAGATATTAAAAATCTGAAGCTGTAATCTGAATCCATAATGCAACCTCAAAGATTCAAAATCTAAAGTCACTTAACTTCATATTTTGAATAGCCCCAGTGACTTCGGTTTTTTCCCTAAAACTAATTTGAAAAACTATATGATTGCAGATATTGAAAACCCAAAGTCTTATCATTGATGAAAAACCTAAAATTGAATAAAAAGGGTGTGGGCTTTCCATCGGTAAAAAACGTTCAAAATTGAAGAAAAAAGGTGAGCGAGAAAAAAAACGTTTGGGCAAGGAAAAAAAGGTGTGGGTGAGGAAGAAAAAAAGTGTGGACAAGATTTATAAAAGTTGAAAATCTTTTTAAATAAATGAAAATTAATAGTTGTGATAATTTCTCTAAGTCTTAAACCAACGTTTTGGGATAAGTTACATCAAATCTTATTTCGCCATTATACTCATAGGTCATAACAAGCTTACTCGTTGGTTCAAAATTCATAGTAAGATTTGGCCAAGTTTTATGCTAACAACCCTCATTCCTTATCCGGGCTCGGGCTTGGGCTTGGAACGGGCGTGAGAGGCCAGCCAAAACGGAGGTTATGTACTATAGGAGCATGTACAAATAACTGGACACGTAAAAATACAAGAAACGGAAAAAAAGAAGCAAATAACAAGACAAGAAGGGCCTTGAGAAAGCCTTAAAAAGCAAGCTGAAAACCATAATAAATCCGCAAAGGCAGTACAGCCAGCCGAAGGAGAAAGACTCAGCGAATTATTCGCTCTCATTTTCAAATTCTAGTTACAAATTACCCCTATATTTGCCTTTTATTTTCAAAAATAGTCATATTGCATGTGCCCCTGCTGCCTTCTTCATGCCTTCTAAGCATTCCACCACCACCTTTTTTTTTGCCATTACACAGAGAGAGATTGCCGAAGAAACGAACAAATTCATCAAGTTAGAGAGAGAAAAAGAGAGATTATAAACAAAGGAAACAGTCAAGTTAGAGAGAGGGTAGGTTATAGAAGATCATACCTATAGAAGAAACGAATCAATCCATCAAACTTTTCATGTCTTAGGGTACTCCTTATCATTCTAGTCACTTTTTGAACCAATTTTTGAGAGAGAAGAATGTGTAATACATTGTTTTGAGCATTTCGGGTTAATCCACTAAGCTTTTCTATTTTTTAAATATTTTATTTAGTTTTTTATTTTTTAAAATTTAGCTTAATGTTCAAATATGCACCTTCTGAATTGCTTTTAGAGAGAGAAAGGACAGAGAGATAAACAAACCCATAGTCGTAGAAGCATCAGAAACAAAAGCAGAGTAAATTTTAAAGTTTCGGTGGATCCATGGATTGTTTCCCCGCTTTGTAATCAACTTATTTCCAACCATTTGAATGATTCAATATTTGCTGGTTAGATTATTTCTATTGAATTCTATATCTTTCGTTTTATTTGTTGATTCTATCTCTGATTTTCCATTTTTTCCCTTCTATGAAGCCATGGCTTCATCTGATAAACCAGTGGAAAAGATCGAAACAGAAGAAGAGAATGGTGGTTTCCTTGAAAAAGTGAAGGATCTCATCCTTGACATTGGAGAGAAGATCGAAGAAGCAGTCGGTTTTGGAAAACCCACTGCTGATGTCTCTGCAATCCACATTCCATCAATCAATATGGAGAGAGCTGATCTTATAGTCGACCTTCTTGTAACAAACCCTAACCCAATTCCGATCCCATTAGTTGACATAAACTACGTCATCGAAAGCAATGGTCGAAAGCTTCTCTCAGGTTTGATCCCTGATACTGGCACTATCCATGCCCATGGATCTGAGATCGTAAAAGTTCCTCTAACCCTAATTTACCATGACATTAAGAAGACTTACGGAGACATCAAACCAGGGAGTGTAATTCCCTATAAAATTAAGGTCGAGCTTATGATAGATGTACCAGTTATGGGGAGGATCACTTTGCCAATGGAGAAAAATGGGGAAATTCCGATACCTTACAAACCTGATATCGATTTAGAGAAGATTCAATTTGGTAGCTTCTCATTTGAAGAAACAAGTGCCACTCTTCATTTGAAATTGGAGAACAAGAATGATTTTGAATTGGGTCTAAACTCATTGGATTATGAGGTTTGGTTGGCAGGGGAAAGTATTGGTGGAGCAAAGGTTTCGAAGTCGGTTAAGATTGATAAAAATGGTTTTGGGGTTGTTGAGCTTCCTCTAACTTTCAGGCCTAAGGATTTTGGATCTGCACTTTGGGATATGATAAGGGGAAGGGGAACTGGCTATTCCATGAAAGGGAACATCGATGTGAACACTCCATTTGGGCCTATGAATCTGCCTATTGGCAAGGAAGGAGGGAACACTCGGATTAAGAAGGGCGAAGAGGATGATGATGAGGTAATCTAATTCTATTCAATTCTTATGTTCTTCACTGAAATTAGGTTTTGTACATATTTTATCATGAGGGGCGTTTTATGCTGGGGCTCTGTATACCAAGTGTATACTGCACATAAACTTGTATTTATTATTGGGGTGCTTGTTTTTGGGGAAGGGTGAATATTGAGAATCTGCATTTCTGTGCTCAAACAGTTTTCATAAGCTTCAGATAAGGTGGGTTTTCTACTTACTAGGGGTTTTAATGGGGGAGATTTTGTTTTTGATGATTTAAATTTTATGTTACAGGAAAGGATTTCATAAGCTTCACGTACTGGCTAAGGGTTTTAGTGGGGGAACTTTTGTTTTTGATGATTTGAATTTGTATATGCATTTAGTCTCTGTTTTGGAAACTCTAAATATTTGAGTTTTTAACTTTGCTAATATTTTTTATCTTAAATGTGATGGTGCAAGAACTTTTGTATTCGGAAACTTCGAAGAAAACTGCATCCTCTGTACTGTATATCGGTTATCTTAACGATTATCTTGGAGATCTTTAATATTGGGACTCTGTAAAGCTGGTACGTCACTGAATTAGATCAGATGGATGCAAAAAGGAACAACAGTAAGAAAAAGATGGGTGCATCATATACTTTGGGGCCAAGATGATGGGTTCTATGTTGGGTGCTTCAATATATTTATTATATGTGCAGGTTATTCTTGTTTTCTTAATTCCTTAGGATAAGTCTTCTATGCCCTTTAACTTGTGATCTTCATCTCCAAATCTTTTGACTTAAATTTTTTGTTGTTATTCTCTTTTAGATGTCAAAACTTACTGCATGGCCTATCATATTTTGCAATTTTGCATTAACCAGATGTTAAGGCATACCCCATGCTCTTTACAATTTCTAGAGTGTGTTGATGATCAAGTACAAAAGAAAAGGACTAACCTTCAATTCTAGGGAAGGACAAGAGATGGTTTATGCTCTTTGTTTTTGTTTGACGCTTGGCTCTCTCATTAAGAATGATTCACAATGCATGGCTTGGATGTTCGGAAAATCGTTCCTTTTGTAAAATCCTTTTCATTTCAGTTTTCCAAATTTTCTTTCTTTAGGAAGCTTCTGCTCCTCTAAGTTTAGCTTGTAGTTACATGGAAACTGTGAAGCCTAATGATAATACATGATATAAATTTTGATTCCCAAAATAAACAAAAGATCGGACTGAAATTCAAGTCATCAGAACTGCTCATCTTTTTGTTTTTGTTCTGTAAACCTTTCTTGTGTTTCTGTTTATTATAACCTTTTCTTTGTCAAAAACATCGAAAAGCATTTTTCTCCCCTAAGGTAGATTACCCTTCTAAGACCTTAGAAGTTCTCTGTTTTGGGAGAATGGGGAAGTTCAGGATTCATGTAGATCTATGCTTATAATATACTTTTGCAAGAGTTGATAAAATCACCTTGAATATGTTTTGCTTTAGTTTGAAAGCCCACCAATCCGGATTGGGAATTGGACGGGACTGAACGAGTTCCAGGAAGGTATTGGCACCGGCCTAGCCTCCCTACAACCCCCCCTTTCACATTTTATGTTTTCTTTTTAAGCATACCTAGTGTGCTCCTAGGTCCCCCATTCTAATTTTCTTTGATTTTTTTACTCTTAGTACTGGATTGCCGATTTGGGCCGGTCTAGATCGTCGATCAGCCATTTGACATGAATCTAGGGGTGCACGACCCACTCCATCGATCTGGGTTTTGAAATGCTGCTATGAGAAGGAAAATTATACATCAGGGAACCAGGATATCCTAATAAGTTTGACACTCCAAGAAAAACTTTTCTGTAGAGCTTGAACACAGTTGTTCTTGAATTGCTACAAGTTACAAAAAGAAAAGCTAGGAATTCTGAATATTGTTGATAAATGAGCTAGTATTGATTTGGATTTGTTATTTGAGAGATTAGGAATTTAATATTATCAATAGTATGTGTTTAATGGTCTGTAACCATGATTTCGTCTATATGATTTGTGCAGGACTGAACACTATATTATGAGGAAACAGGCCTCGGCTCCTTCGGTGGTTTACATTGCACTAATTTCTGTGGATTATATTTGTTATACTCGTTGTTGCATATTGTTCTTATATATCTTTGGTTAACTGTGTTTTGCGCTTTTATACTCCGGGGGGAGCATCTTACTCTCTCCAGAAAAAGAGGTACTTGAGAGAATATTTCGATCTAAATCTTTCGGATCGACTTAAGAAGAATCACCCGATGATTATTTCAAAAAGTAAAAAAAAATGGATTTTGAATTCTTGAGCACTTAGATCTTAGCTTCCCAAAATTGGACGCTCTCCATTCAATCTCGGATCGATATTTTTCAGGATAGATATTTTTCAGGCACATGGAGAGTGATCTGAAAATGAAAAAAAAAAAACCGAGTTTTGCTAGATTGACGATATTAAACCCCTAAATTTTTGGGGTCCTCAAAATATTCCTGAGTTGGATTTTATCCGAGAGATAAATAATATTCCTGAGTTGGATTTTATCCGAGAGATAAATGAACAATATGCTCCAGTGGAAAAATAAAATCTTTTTGACTTTGCTCACACTAACGCATATGCGGCTGCGCAAGTGAGAGAGAGACGATCAACTAAAAAGCAAAGCTGAGAGAGAGAGAGAGAGAGAGAGAGAGCAGCATTGTTCAAAATTCTAAGGTTGTGGTTTCCAT